GAGAACAGATGGATGGAAGATATATTCATTCTCTCCTTCATTCCCCTCTTTTCCTTTTTTCCTACTTTCTTCCCTCTTTTTCTCACTCCATTTGCCTTCCTCCCTCCCTCCTGCTCTCCTTCCCACTTCCACTCTTTCCCCCTTACGCCGTGTAACTCAGAATTCTAAATAAATAAGCAAATCTTAAAAAAAAGTATGATCACTATTTATTGGAACAAACCTTACTGAATTTTGACAACATAGGCAGCATGCTAGCTTGTGCGGAACTAAATGAGAAGATGCTAAATCTTAATTGTGTTCTGCTCAGAGCAGAGTGTGGGGAGGTTCTTGAAAGAAATGGTACTGTGCAAACCACAATGGTTTGTGAATTTATGTTTAAATTAGCCTGTGGACTAAGAACTAACTGGAGAACAACATATGTGAGTGTAGTTGGTAAGATCACATCCATAGGCTTGAGTCCATAAAAGTATAATGCTTCTAAGTAGTTTATTTTATGTTGTTTTCCATGTGTGTTTTGTCCTTTGCTAGTAGATTCTTCCAGATCCTCCCCAGCCAAGACATAAATGTGATTTGCTTAAAAATACTCATGTACGAGCCTGGTGTGGTAGCCTAATGGCTAAAGTCTTTGCCTTGCATGCGCTGGGGTCTCATATTATGCTGGCTCTAATTCTGGTGCTTCCGTTTCCCATCCAGCTCCCTGCTTGTGGTCTTGGAGGGCAGTTGAGGACAGCCAAAGGCCTTGGATCCCTGGACCCACGTGGGGGACCCGGGGCAGGATCCAGGCTCCTGGCTTTTGATCAGCTCAGCTCTGGCCATTGCGTCCACTTGGGGAGTGAATCAGCAGATGAAGGATCCCCCTCTCTGGCTCTCCTCCTCTCTCTGTATTTCCAATAAGGATAAGAAATTAAAAAAAAAACTACAAAAAATACTTATGGACAATATTTAAAATTTAGAAACTTTGTTTAAACATTTCACTCTAAAAATTAAGACTGCAGTTCTTTTGTCTTCACAGGGAGCTAGTTTTCCATAAGTGCATGCTTTTCACAGATTTTTATGATAATCAAATGTGTCATTGTTAGAGACTGCCTGGTTCTCTGATGTTCAGGCAAGACCCTAAAGACATGAAGATGCGTTGCTGGAGAGTCTGTCATGATTGCTCTTGTTTAACTCTTGTGAGCTATTAGAATTCCCAATAAAAGCAAACAAACAAACAGACAAAACGATGTTGTGAATCATAGCTTTGCCAGAGTTGTCAACAAGAGGGGCACCTGCTGGACAGCTCATGTGAATCCATATGATTTCAGCTGGAGTTTGTTTTGAAGTTTGTTGAAGTTTTCAGTTGATACCCTCTGCTCTTCTCTGCTGACACGTGGATGTGACATTTATCATTCTGGCCTTGCTATTTTTGTTGTTGTTGTTCTGTGGCTGTGCTGACGTATGTTTGCCACAAAGTTATGCCTTATTGTAAATTTTTTTCCGTATACTTCAAGTTAGAAAGACATGGTTTGTTTTGTTTGTTTGTTTGTTTTTTTCCCTTGACCCAGCATACTGATAATAGGAGCCTGGCCTCACAGGCATATCATGTGATATATTAAAAAAAAAACTACATTAATTTCCTGTTGCATGTGAACTATTCTAAAACTTAGCGTTTGATTATTTTCGTTTCTGTCGGCGCAGAAGCCAGGTGCTCCCTAGCTGGTGCCTTGAACTCAGGCTGTGTCATGATGCTACAGTGGAGCATTGGGCTGGGACTTGAAGGTTCATTCATTTGTATGTTTACATATGTTAGCCCTTCTGCACATGTGCCTGTCCACGGGGCTTCTTTGTGATGTGACAGCTGGCTTTCCTCATGGCTAGAGAGGAAATAAGGAGACCAGAACACTGACGTAGAAGCTGCAGTGTGTCCATACTGTCTACTCAGAAGTGCTGTGGTTGGTTTCTGCTATATTCTTGGATACATGTTGACAAGTGCAGTTTATCCCTAAGAGATGGGAATTCAGTGGGCTTATATATATCATTATGTGGGAATATGAGAGAGAGACTGACTAACTTGATAGCCAGGACTGGAGCACCATGGCCAGGGGCTGAAGGCTCGGTTCAGGTCTCCCACATGTGACAGGGACCCAACCACTTGAGTTATTAGCTTGCTGCCTGCGAGAGTCATGTGCTAGCAGGTTACTGGCCTCAGGACTGAGGCCCAGATACTCTGACACGGAACCCAGATATCCTAAGCAATGTCCTAACCAAATTCCAGATATCTGCCATGACACCTGTGTAAGATATTAAGCCAATATTGCATTCCTGAGATTAATACTACATTGCTGTGATTCATCATCATTGTAATATGTTATTTGGATTGTTTGTTTAGAATGGATCAATAATTTTTTGCATCTGTGTCCATAAGAGAAATTGATTCGACCTTTTCTTATAATGTCTCACCTGCTTTTGCCGATGGGATGTTGCTGGTTGTATATAACGAAGTGCGCATTGAGTGGATCCTCCTTTGTGACACTTTACAAGGATATCTGTTCAACTGATGTTACTTCTGAAATGTGGTTTTCTTCAACAGAGGTGCTGTTTGTTCCTGCCATTTTGTTGTAAGGTTTTGAGCACAAATTGTTTCTTTACCACACATGGGCGTATTGAGGCTCTCCGTTTGTTCCCAAGTGGCCTGTGGTCGTTTTTGTCTTTCAGTGTGCTTGTTGATTTTTCTCTGAGTTGCTGCATTTACTGGTGCACTGCTGTCTATTACATGTAGAATTTATTGGGATGTCGCTTTCCTGAGTCCTCTTAAAATTTTAAAGTTTTTCCTTATCAATCTGGCTGGAGGTTTATCAGTTCTTTGTTGATCTTCTCTGCAAACAAGATGTTGACTTAATTGGTTTTCTTGGATGATCTGTTTTCTGCTTCATTTGTCTCCCCTGACACGTACTCATTGTTTCAGTCTTCTACGTGGGGCTTTGCTTGCTGAGGTCGTTGCTTTGAGGCGCATCTGTATGCATTTAATACCATAAACTTTAACATACCTACATATGATTCTCATGTTTTGTTATTTTAAAAGTCACTAGTTTCATTTTATTGGAGACAGAGACAGAAAGGAAGACAGGAGAGATCTTTCATCTGTTGCTTTCCTTCCTGAGTGAATTCAGCAGGTAGGGCTGGGACAGGCCAGAACTCAGTGTCATTGTCAGTTCTCCTGTGTAGGTGGAAAGGACCTAGGTATTTGAACCATTTTCTGCTACTTCCCAGACTGCATTGACAAGACCCAGGGTCAGAAGTAGAGGAATTGAGACCAGATTCAGGCTGCCTGATGTAGGAGGTGGGCATCCCAACTGGTGACTTAAATCCTTGTCATCAGAATTTCTGCCCCTCTTCTGTGTTTTCATTTAGTCCAAGATGCTTTTGAATTACCTTCTTGTATGATTTAATTAGCCAGTATTTTCTGTCATATTTATCTTTTCACATATCTTTTTCCATCTCTTAGTTTTGAGCAATTTGGTTTTGATGTGCTTGCATCTATCTTGCTTTGAATTTCTTGTGTTTGGGGTTTCTTGGCTGCTCGGGTCCATGTGTTTATGCTCTGGTTGCCTCAGTGGCATGGATGCTTTCTGTTCTGTTGCTTTCCCATAACTCCTTAAAATGCTGAGAACAGATCACCTATTTGTGATATGTTGTTAGTATTTGCTCATGTGTTGAATATTCTTCATTATTTCCTTTTTGCTTTCAATTTTACTTTACTATACCTAATATAAATTGACAGAGTGCCTGTAAAATATTTCTGGAGTACAGTGTACATATCGAGGCCTGTATACAGTGTTTACTGATCAAATCAGGGAAATTGGCGTATCAGTTATCTCAAACACTGTGCAGTTTCTTCCCGTTGGAGACATTAGGCTTGTTTGCCTAGCTACCTGAAATATATATTTAATTATTGTCAACCGCAGTTACCCTGTGGTAATGTCGTGGGCAGCTTTGTGGTATGCTAGAAGGTATAATCAAATGCTTCTCGTTTGATTTAATATTCAGCCAGTGCTTGGTAGTTAGGACAGAGTTGATGCCTCCTAATAGTTAATTATTTTTTTGTTTTGAAAACTTTAAGGGACTTAATTTATATACTTTTCTGCCTAAGGTATTTTTTTTTAAATGTCTAAGCATGTGGATTATATAATTCGAGCAGGAGTCTTTAACTTGACCCACGGAATTGCGTGTGTCTGGAGGGATTTGATGGCAGCACTTGGCTGTGATCCCTCACATGCCTCTTGTGCTCACCCATCGCGTCTGTGTCTGTTGATGTCTGTACCATTCTGTATTGATTACTATGTGCAGAAGCATTTATTCCCCATATAGAATCATCCTTCACACTATTTAGAAGTGGTATTTTTACTTGAAAAAGTACACATTTGTCTTCAGTATTTTCTGTTTTCTAGCCACGTAGACAAGAAGAAAGAATATTCTAAACAGAATTTAATTTATTGTTACTTGTCTGTAGCGAAGGAATTAGAAATCTAGTTGTGCATGAAGGCTGGAGGCCTTGGAGCTTTTGTTTATATTTCTTTCCTGAAAAGAGCTAATTGTTATTATCTTGCATGATACAGTTTTGTCGGTTTACAGCCTCTGTCAGCTGTGTACATGAAGGCACAGCACAGTGTCAATAGGATTAGTAACGTTTCTTCTAAAAAAACAGGTTAGTTGTTACCCAACTTCCTGATGACTCAGAAATAATCCACTTGCAGTCAGTCAAACAGGACAGTGTCCAAGAGCCACATGCTAGTTGCAGTAGTTTAGGCCTTACAGTTCTCATTTTAGAAATAGTTTTTTTAGACATCAGTGAGCATAAATACAATGATTTCAGGTGAGTTTTCCTATTGTGATGCCGTGTGAACTTTTTAGATGTTTTCCTGAATTTAAAATTGGCACCATTTCTGGAATAATAAATCTACGTGTTTAATGATACTTAAGTTTTAGTGGAGAATTCTACATTTAATTTCTTTCATTTGCAGATATGTGTCACAAAGATGTCTACACGGAACTGCCAGGGAATGGACTCTGTGATCAAACCCCTGGACACAATTCCTGAGGACAAAAAAGTCAGGGTTCAGAGGACACAGAGCACTTTCGACCCCTTCGAGAAACCTACGAATCAAGTGAAGAGGGTGCATTCCGAGAACAATGCTTGCATTAACTTCAAGTCCTCCTCTGCCGGCAAGGAGTCTCCGAAAGTTAGGCGGCACTCCAGCCCCAGCTCGGTGAGTGCCATCCTGCTTGGTCCCTGAGTGCACGAGGGAAGGTGGTGCAACCTGTGGCTCATAGGCATGAAAAGTTGTTCTCTCCCGGGAGGGCATAATGTTTTTTTGGGGGGGAGAGAGAAAGCAGTATGAAGACTTTTTTTTTTCATCAGCACTCAGCAAAGAAATTAATAAGAGGATTTGACTTTATTGAAAAATAAAACAAATTTTTTTCTAGTTGCTTCCAGTAAGAAAATTTTATTATAATTAAAAATCCTTTGTATTTCAGTCACTTGGAGACAACTATTGAACTTCATTGCGTGTTAGCATAGTTTTGAAATTGACAAATTCACCAAGAACTTTGTTCAAGAAGAAATGGAAGGAATTTGTTCACTTGTGGTATTCTAGTTGGTTCTGAGCGTAAATATATTTTGTACATTTATTTATTTGTTGGAAAGGCAGAGTTTACACAGAGAGAAGGGGAGTCAAATACAAACACTGCGTCCACGGTTCACCCCCCACGTGACTGTAGCACCTGGAGCTGAGCAGGCCTGTGCTGGGAACCAGGAGCTTCTTCTGGGTCTCCCATGTGTGGTAGAGGCCAAAGACCTTGGGCTTTCTTCTTTTGCTTTCCCAGACAAAAGAAGTCCTAAAGTAGCTAGGACTTGAACCAGCACCCATATGAGATGTCAGCCAGCACCTTACCATAAGTATTTGAAAAGGCAAGAGCTAGAAATTAAAACTCATCTTTTTTCAAGTTATTCTATTAAAAATCTTTTGGAGGGAGGGAGAGAAAGAGAAAGAGAGAGAATAAGTATTTTTAAAACATGAATTCACACCTGGATTATTTAAGAAAAGGATGGGAATCATCTGAAACAGATCTTAATCCAGTGGTCTACACCACCTGACCCTCACACACACATCTGCTCCTCCATCGTTGCTGTTGAAATTCTCCGTGTTGATCCAGCCTGGGCTAGCTGATGACCACACCTGCTGATGTGAGCGTTCTGCCATTGCCTCTCTGAGAACTTTCTCTTCTCCTTTTCGTTTTTGTGTTAAATTCCTTTATTTTTTCCTGGATTGCATGTCATCTTGGTTTATTTTACTGTGTTGTGGTAGCACATATTCCAACAGTGAGATGGGAAGTTGGGAATTCATGTGTTTGACCATGGCTTTATTCATATTCAATATTAATATGTTTTGGGTATGATTCTAGTTTAGATTCCAGTTTTTCTTAGACTTTTGATGTTTAATTGATTTTTAGGATCTCATATTCTTAATGAAAGCCAAGATTGTTTTTAATTACTTTTTTCCATTGAGTAACTGCTTACGGCCTAGTTTCCCCTGCTTTTTGTTTAGTTGTTTTTGGTCTTTTATTGTTTTTTTAGTTTCAGCTTTACAATACAAACTTTGTAAGGTAGTAGTACATTGAGTTTCCCCACACACCTGTCACCCTATCTCCTTTTTTAGCCATCTTGGTCACATTCCGATGTGACATACCCAACTTCCCTGCCTTTTTAAAAGTTCATCCTTTTATCCTTCCCACCTCTCTCAGCCTCTAATAGCCAGCATTCTGTTTGCAAATAGCACTTTCAAAGATTTTTGTTTTTATCTCTATGGATTTTCTTGGTATTCATTAGGATTGGTTGGCTTTTGAAATTCATTTCTTTTAACTTTGGAGAGAATTCTTTTTAATAATTATTAATTTTTTTCCCATTGACTCTGCCATGACCAGTGCAGCATGACCACAGTTAGAGAGGGAGATGTGCAATTGAGAAAGTAAGAAATGAGGTAGACACAGGATAGAGACTGTAAAAGTGGAGACACCAGAGTGAAGCCCCCTTCTCTAAGGAACGAGAGTGATCTGGAAGACTCACTCCTGGCTCTTACTGAATTGCCTAGGGACTCAAATGACAAGAATTGATGTAGAACAGACTTTAAAACCTGCATCCTGTGTGGATGGTCAGCAGCCAATACTTGATAATCAGGAAGCAACAATGCGGCCCAAGGTCAGAAGGCAGTATATGACGGTGTCAAGGATATCTCAAAGTGCACAGTTCTGTGGCTTTGAACCCTTGCCCAGCTGTGGGTCCTTGCCTGCAGGCCTCAGCCTTGGCCTTCGGCTTTTGCCCATCCACAGACCATTGCCCAGCTAAAGACCATTGACTTTGGTTTTTGACACCAAGAGTCTGTGAACTCAAGATTCCAGGCCCCGTCTGTTATGTTTTTTACAAAGTGCCTTTTTTGTTAGGTGCATATCAGATTAGACAGCAGGGTTGAATTGATATTCTGATTTTATTTATTGTCTTTTTTCTACATTTTAATTTTAACCTTTCAGTTAAATTTTTACTTATAGTAACATCTGTTTCCATATGCGCTTTCTTATTTTTTGAATGTGCTTTGAAAAATAATTTTTTCTCAATGATTTTGTTTTTCTGAGAATGTTTTATGTTCAGTTGGGGAAATTTTGAAGTTGCTTTTTTTCTTTGACATGCTCTCTCTCGGTTATCTGTCTCTGAGTTTCCTTTGAGTTTCCTGTTTCTGTTTGTTTGCTTTTGTTTCTGCCTTGCCTGTTGAGATTGTTTGCCATTCCCATTGGTGAAAGCTGCTGGCTGTCAATTTATGAGAAATGTGCTACAAGCTGACTGGCACCTCTTTCTGCCTGGGTGCCTTGTCAGTTGGTAGGCTTCAGCATAGGAATATTGATGGAAATCTAGTTACTTCATAGAAATATTCTCATATGGCAGTATCTCTTCATTTTTTTAACCCCTTGTTTGGATAATTCTTTCAAAGCATATCTATTGATCTATTTTATTTGATAGTATTTTTAAAACTTGAATTGATGCATAGTAAGTGCACAGCTTCATAGGCTAGCGCATGATGCCTCAGTGCCTGCGTGCATTGCGCAATGTCTGTCTGCTCAGGCCTTTCTCATTTCTTTAACAGAATTCTTCTGGAGCTTTTATTTTTTTTAGAAGACAAGTCGTGTGCAGTTTTTGACATGTAAGTCTAGCTGCTGTTCTTCTGAGATGACCGAAAAGGTGCTGAGTACCTCCTGCTTTGGTCTTATGCCTTTCTTTTAGTTTCTTTTTTTTTTTTTTAATGCTTTTTTTCCATGCAGTAGAGCTCTTCAGAAAATAAGCCTGTGCTGGAAAGGGGCTAGCAGCTAGCCCACCTCCCTGGGAGATTCCAGGGGAAGCAGCATCGTCTGTGAGAGCATTGCAGGTGGACACTTCCTTGTTGGGCTCAACTGATCCTTATGCTCCGGTCCTTGAGTTTTCTGAGATTCTGAAGTAAGAGCCATCTTTATCTGTGGTTGGCTTAGACCTCTGGGTATTTAGATATCAAGCTTTCTTGATGTGTCCTGGTCACTTGTCTTCCTTCTCTTATTGCCACCATTCTAGTGTGGGTTGGTAAAGAAGTCAGAAAAAATTGTGTTCAGCGCATTTAAGTGGGAGCTTCTGCTGTTTGTATCTTATTCTACTGTTAACTTCTAGTTTGTTAAGTAGTTCACATACTGTTTCCTGACTTTCACCTTGGGCTAACGTTTTCCGGTTGAATGAGTGGCTGTTTCACTTATTTGTAATTTTTACTTTCTTTATGCCCTGAAAAAGCCTATTTTTTTTTTTAATTAGCAAACTGGAAATAGTTTGTTTCTCTTTCAGAGGGATGCCACAGGTTTGTTACTTTTCTTGTTTTCTCTCCTTTCTTCTTTTTTTTCCTTTGAGTCCTTTTTACCTGTTGGCTTTTTGTTCTCTCTTTTTGAGCTAGAAAGGGGTATTTTATTACATCCTCCTTTTTGTGGAAGTAGTTTCTACTGAGTTGGGCAGAAACTGGATACAGTAGCACCTTTTGTGTCACATTGACCTGCCGTGCCACAGTGTATGAGTTGGGTACCGTCGTTCTCATGGCTGAGCACATGAACTTGATCTGTACAGGTTTTGTCACCTTTAAGAGGTTCCCAGGCTGTAACAGTAGTTGGTAAATGCCAACAGATTCGTTTCATTGAAGGATCCCTAGGACCAGTGTTGTATCTTTGTTTTTATTTTTTCGTATAGTAGTTATCTTGACTGGGTTCTGAGAGTTAAGAAGAAGGAAGAGGGGACACAGAAGTGGCGCTGCAGCCACAATTTTAATGAAGAAAGCATTGTTTCTTAGCAGTGCCCTGGTAGAAACTTAAATACTTTGTTTTCTCAAATGTGTAGCTGCTTGTGTGCTGTTCCCATTTGGGGACATTTACTTAGAAGCAGTGGCCGAAATCATGGACCAGGACTGTCTTGACTTCAGTGGCCAGCATGCTGCTGTATCTTTACTGGATTTTCCAAGCACATTTTAAAATTCAGGTAAAATGTGCAGAGTGACTTTCTTAGGTTTGCATAGCTCAAGGGGGTGTTTGATCCTGCTCACTAATGCAGTTCTTTTTGAGTCCTTACTTTGGCCAGCTAGTCTTAGAGGGAGTGTTGGATATTGTTCCTTTTTGTTCCTTTTCCTTTTACCACTTCCCCACGGTAGCCCTGCCCTCCAATAGCTCCAGCTATTGGAAGTATAGTTGGAGCCCGTCTGGGTTAACCCTGTTGACAAGGGATTTCCTTGAGTTGTACAGTCATAAGATGATTGTAAAGAGAGCTTATTTTCAGAAATTCATGTTTAAGGTTAAGATCCTCTGTATGTCACACAAACTGCCTCACATTTAGCTCTTTGTACTACTGTGAAAATCTGTATTCCAGAATCGATGAAACTAACTGGGAACAAGAAGGAAGGAACACACTTGCAGCTCTTACTGCAGTTCTCAGATGCGTTCCTTCGAGGGGGATGGCCGTGGTTCTCTCAGCATTGTGCACATCTTGTGGGAGTCAACAGTTCGCACATAGAATCCAGTCCCCCTTGTTGGGTTGGCGTTGGATTCATACTCTTATCCAGCACCTGTTCTAAAACTCTCCAAAAGCTGTTACATTTCAACTGTGGCATGATTGAGGTGTTTTGGAAATAAAAGCCAAATGTTTTTATATAATAATCAGTCA